TTCGAGTACATACGTCATAAGAAATGCGAACGCGCGGGTATTTCAATAATCGTCCGTACTTTTGAACGAGTTGCGAAGCGCCCCGTCGTTAGTCGCGATATCGAGGCCAGGCGCGTAAGTGCCGATACCTCGCGCCGTCGGTGTAGAATATTAGCGTAGAGAATTATTATACTTCAAGTTGCACGAACAAAGTTAAGTGACGAAGGTGCTCAGACCGGGGGCCATAAATATCTCAGATATCGGGACACTTGACTTATGCCATTTTCGATCTCCGCGTTAATAGCGGGCCGGAAGTCGATTTGCGGATTATAACGTGGCATTAACGGGGATCAGTTTCGCGAATCTAATCGCGTGCGTGTCCCCCCCCCCTTTCCCGCGCCGCCCGATCGGTGCTTTTAAATGCATCGCCAGCATTTAATGGCACGTATCGATTTCGAACCGCGATGAATGGCATCGAGAACAGCACGCGGTTCGCGATCGGGGGATAGCAGTGCTGCGGGGGCGGGGAGGGGAGGGGAGGGGGCGGGGAGGGGTAGGGACAATCGCCATCGGATAGAGAATTGGGGGGCTGGGGAAAGAGAGAAAACGAATCCCCCGCGAGAATGACATTTCGGCGGACGCGACGCGGCGCACGGCATGGCGGCGGACGATGCGACACGCGCGGAGATAGAAGCGGGAGGGAAAAACAAATCTACGACTCGCGGGCGCGAATGATGTTTCAACGGTGCGGCCGACTGGAGCAATTACTGGCGGAATATTGCAATCATTACGTCTCTATCTCGTCGCCCGAGAGCCTCGCCCGTCTGTCTCCGTCACGTTTTAAAAATGATCGCGATACGTGTATACGTGTGCGCGGGTATGCGCGCCGGGGATTGTAGGCAAAACCGCCCATCGGCGGTGCCTATCGAAAATCACTCTGTAGAATGCCGCCAATCAAAAGATCGTGAACCGGTGGAAACCGATTTAAGTCGTCCGGCCTGATGACAACGGGATAGATAGCTGTTACGCAATTTTTATTTTTTGCTACGTACAGGAGCGCGGAGTTTTGTCCTGGCACAGAGGATAGCGCGGGGCTACCACCCGTAACCATTTACTTTTTTTATCGCCGCGCATGAATAAATAAACAATCCAAGCAATAACGATTTTTAATATCTATCCAGGAAACACATAATGGCATGTTAAACGTAAAATAACCTAACAGTGGTGCAATTGTACCACACTGAGAAAAAAATCATAATACTATAATATGTTCAGTTGGCTGTATTTCTTCAATTCAAATGTATGTTTTTTCAATGGAACGTACGTAAGTTATTAAAACGTTAATTTTTTTAATTAACAAATATTTGCCTGACAGCCCGTGACCGCGGCGTATAGTTGAATGAATCAAGAAACGTCTTCAACACTTTTTTCCCCTCGTCTCCCTTCTACGCTAACTTTAATACTAACTGCGTTTAATAAACGTTTAATACACCATCATGTGCTTATCGGGTATAAAATCCATTTTAACGTTTTTTTTGTAGAGAGATGCTTAATATCGTTAAGCACGTTTTTTAGGACAAATCTTTTTTCATGTAACGCAGTCATCATTTTTACTCGTCTATCCCATAAAAAATTGAATACACGCTCTCAAAAGTTATCAATGTTAAATGTGAAAATTATACAAATTTAAATACAAGAGCTGATGGACGATAGAGCATGGCAAGTGGCGAATCTAATTCGTTTTCTCTCCGAATTTTTCGACCGAAGGCAATTACTGTTAAAAGTTAACATTTCCTCGGTCGAGTCTATCGCTCGCAGACAATCGAATGCCTACCGCTTGCCTACCGCTTGACAACGTAACATCTCGAACCAGTAGACACTCTCGCGGTAGTTCTTATCTGTCGCGATTATGATTATGACTCGATAACCCATATCGACACACGCCAGTGCGTGGAAGATACACGCATACGTTTTGCGTGGGAACATGCGCGCGTGTAGTTTCCCCGAGGGGAAAACCGCCGAGGGCATTGTGGCATTACTGGGCATTACTAGGCATTGTTTGGGCATTAGGCCTTGCTGGGGCATTATAGAGATAGATAAAACAAGATAAGTAAGATAATAAGATAAACAACGTCAGTGTTTTCTTGACCGTATAATACAGAAAATTTATTGTGAAAAATATTACCTCAGCCAGGGTTTGAACCTGGACTACCCTACGCTCTAGGCGGGCGTCTCACCATTTCGACCACCGAGGCATATGACAATATTAGTCGGGTTAAACCCTTATCGGCGCGCAGTTCTAAAAAGTCGAAATACACGCGTAGACAACATCTTTATACTGTTATTGCGACTAATGTTATCATATGCCTCGGTGGTCGAATTGGTGAGACGCCCGCCTAGAAAAGTCCAGGTTCAAACCCTGGCTGAGGTGATATTTTTCGCAATAAATTTTCTGTATTATTAAAATTACCAGATAGGGTCAAGAAAACACTAATGCTGTTAATTACTGCTGGCGACATTTAAGAATGTTCTTATTGGTTGATAATAAGATTAAGTAATGCCCACTGGGCATTAGTGGACATTGGTGTACAAGATTTTGGTCAGCGGTTTCCCCCTCGAGTGTGTGAAAATTATGGAGTGCCGATGCTTAAACCTAACAGGACATCGATACTGTTGTTCATTAGATATCGATACTAATTCTTTCTTCCCTCGAAAGCTAATGTTGCGTAGTGGCATGTATACTGCTCGCGGTAATCAAAGAGAACGACACGCGCGTGACATTAAATTAATAAAAATTAAGGAGTTGCGGATATGCAAATAACGAGGCTTCGCGAACTGGAAAACACAGTGAATGACAATCGAATGAAAATGTGCATTTTCTCAAGAGACCTGTTTTGCACGGTACATCGCAGACTTTGCTACGTTTCTCATTAGTTTTCTTAAAAACAAATATCTTTTGCCATAAAAAAGATATCCGCGTGTATTCGTTTACGGAAAGAACGGCGTTGCTCAAGTATTTTGCAAACAAACTTGCCGCGTCCACGATACTTGTATTGGAATATATAATTGTCGTAGAGCATTCACTTCAATTTTTCAACGTTCGCCAAGTATCGATCGAGTTAATTACTAAATGCTCGCAGGACTGTCTCGGGGGAAGCATCTTTCGATGTGTATATCCTGCGCAATTATTTCACCGTGACATTGTAAAAATAATTCGATCAATGCTTCGATGGAGCAGGAGTCTTGGACGCGTCGCTTTCTTTTGATTTATCAGTGTTAATGACCCCGCGGCGCGAGGATGCGTTAATCAGTGCAGAAAATGTACAAAATACCACGGTCTC